AAGCGGTGCGGCGAGCTGAAGCCAAAAATCGGACAGTCTTGGGTTCCTGGCGGTCCTGGGTTGTTCGCCTCGCCGATCTGGAGGAGGACGAGCTCCTCCCTTTCGAGGAGGACGTTCCTGAGTTTGATGAGGCCGGCCAGGTTCCCTACTTCAACTTCGACGGACCGGCGCCTTCGGTGACAACTCCAGCCCTTGCCGACGCGAACGAACAGGACGCCGTACAGCCACCACCCGGCCTGGAGGAGACGACCACAGAGCTTTTACAGAACACCGGGCCAGTGGAGGATGAGGCTATGCCCCGCCAGGTGACACAGCCGGAGCAAGAGCCGCAAGACGGGAACGAGCCAGAGCCGACGACGGCCGAAACAACCACGGACGAAAACCCCTCGACTTCGTCTACCTCTGGTCCTTCGGCCGAGCAAGTGCCGGGGATAGAGCCAGAACATGCCGGAACAACCACGCACGAAAACCCATCGACTTCGTCTACCTCTGGTCCTTTGTCGGTTCCGACACCGTCTTCTATAGCACCTTCGCCTGGTACGTCTTCTTTGCAAGCAGCGCTGCGCAGATCTCCGGACGATTTGGATGGACACCCGAGGTCAAGGTCACCTTCCCGTTTTGGACATTATGCAGCACCAGAGCAGGTTCCTATGAGGCCACCGACCAAGCTCAGCATCAAGGAGGCCAGCCGGAAGTTTCGAGCTTTCTTGGCGCAACGGGGAGAGAAGAAGTACAAGAAGAAGGTGGCCAAACAAGGTGCCGGGCGAGAACTTCCTTACAACAAGGCCAGCCCCGAACTTCGAGCCCAGATGATCGACCAGGCTCGCCGGAAAGAGTGGGACAACTGGAAGGGCTACACGAATATGCGCAAGATCACCAAGGAGGAGTTCCAGACGATGCGGGCAGCCAACCCGGACCTTCGGGTTATTCCCACTCGGTGGGTGGACATCGACAAGTCCGACGAACCCACGCAAATGAAACTGAAGAGCCGCTTTGTCGTGAGGGGCGACCTGGAGGACGCCACAAAGATGAGGACAGACTCCCCAACAGGGAGCCAGGTGGCTATGGGACTCACTTTGTCCTTTGCCGCGTCGACCGGCAAACCACTTCGCTCTGGAGACATCTCGGCGGCTTTTCTTCAAGGGTCCGAGCTGGACCGCCAGTTGGTGCTCAGTATGCCAAAAGGAGGTACACCCTACGACATGGACGAGGGCGACCTCATTGTGGTATCCACCACGGTCTACGGCACCAAGGACGCTCCAAGAGGTTGGTATAAGAAGTTGGATGGCACGTTGGTGGAGCAAGGCCTGAGAAGGGTACCCCACGAGCCTGGCTTCTATGTGCTGACCGGACACAAGGACGATGGCAAGCCTTATGTCAAGGGCGTTCTTCTTATACATGTCGATGACCTGCTGTGGTGTGGAGACCAAGACTTCCAGGACATTATGCTGGCCGTGCAAGCGATCTACAAATTTGGGTCTTTAGAGGAGAAGGTGTTCCGCTATTGTGGCCGACAGCTCCGTCAAGACGACAAGGGCATCCATGTTTCCTGTCCTGAGCTAATGGGCCGTGTTCGACCCATTGCCCTGGAAGCTCGGAGAAAAGGACAAAGAGCGACCAGGGCCACAGCGGAAGAGAAGGGACAGCTTCGTTCGATTATCGGAAGTCTTTCTTGGCTTGTGCGAGTTTGTCGGCCGGACCTGAATTACCAAGTCGCGAAGTTGCAGATGGCCGTTGCCGACCCCACGGTGCAGGACCTCGTGGACGCGAACAACTTAGTCCGCTACGCCAGCCGGACCCGGGACCAAGGGATCCTGTATCCCGCGGGAGCTCTTTCATTTGATGACATGATGGTGCTGGCGATCCAGGATGCCTCCTATGCGGCGGACTATGATGTGAGCGGCTCAGGCAAGAAGCTTGGCTACAGGAGCCAGAGCGGCCGGATGCTGTTTTTAGCACCGGGAAACTATATGAAGGATATGAGCTCCGCCGGCTACTTGATCAGCTGGCACAGCACGGTGATCAAACGCGTGAGCAAGAGCACTTTGCAAGCAGAGACGCTAAGCCTACAATTGGGAGCTGCAGAGGCCGACCACCTACGGGCAGTGATTCATGGATTGTACAGTGACATGGGAAAAGGGCAAGCAGAGCAGTGGATGGCAGAAGCCCAGGACCGTGCCCGGGCGGCGTGGTTCACTGACTGTTTCTCTTTGTGGTCACACCTTATGAATCCTGCGGCCGGGTCAGTGGCTGATAAACGACTCGCCATAGACCTTTGCGCTTTGAGGCAAGAGCTTTGGCGTGGACCTGGTCAGCCGGTTGGAGACCCGCTGGGCAGTGATCGCCCGCCAGCCGAAGCCAGCACGACGGTGACATGGACAACGACAGACAGGATGCTGGCAGATGGCCTCACAAAGAAGCTCCTCTACGATAGATCCATTTTGGACGTAATGGACGGAAATGCCGTCGTTTTGATCCCGAATCCTGACCAGAAAAGAAAGACTAGTGTGAACCAGAGCTCTGTTGATGACTAAGCTGGTCAGGATCGGGCAAGCACTGACAACCTTGCTACGACGTGGCTCAAGCTTTGCGAGCAGAAAAGGCTTAGAGCTTTCTTTGCGCATGCTATCACACGCGTTGTCAATTCAGATTGGCAGCGGAGCTTCGTGCTCTAGGGACCTAGCTGAGCCCGCTTTACATATCGCAACAGGCAGCTTAAGGCGTAAGCCCTAGCTTCGCTTCCAGCCATGGCTTTGCTGGAAGGCCTATCATGGGCCAAGTTCATGGAAGTTTCTTCTGAGAGCGAAACCACCGAGGGCAAGTACGGCATACCAAGGTATGACGGCAATGTCCACCAGCTCCAAGAATACACGTATAGAGTGAAGCTGCGGGAGCTGAAGGAAAGCAGCATGGAGCCGGCCGAGCTGAAGAAAATCGGGCCACTAGGCATACGCCTAGTCGAAGGCCTGCGCGGCCCTGCTTTGCACATGGTCAGGGAGATACCACCTGAAGAACTGGCCGGTGCCAAAGGACCGTCTTCAATTATCAAGTGCCTCACCCGGTCCCTGAGACCGAGACGAGAGCAGGAGGCCAGAGAGTTGTACAAGGCGGGCGCCAAGGAGCTAGCATGGACCCCTGAGCCTGAGCCGGCAGTACGGTGAGCCGGTTTCGATGTATGTCTTACGGCGGCGAACATGGTGGTCCATGCTGCAAGATTTAGATAGCAACATAAAGTTGCCAGAGGAGATGCTTGCAGAACAGGTTCTTCAAAACGCTCGCCTCTCGGACGACCAGATCCTCATGATTCGCACCGTGGTCGGCAAGGCCCTCACGGTCGAGGCTGTGTGTGAGGAGATGGTTGCCCAGCATGCCTCCCTGCACTTGAAAGAGAAGAGGACTCAGGCCCACTTTCCGCGGAGCAAGGGGCCGGGCTACAAGGGCGGCTATAAGAGTGGCAAGGGCAAGGGCTATGGATACCTTGCCGAGTTTGACGAGCTCGAGGACCCCTACGAGGAGGCCTATGTCGCATGGGACAGCCAGAGCCAGAGCCAGAGCCTTGGTGGTGGATATGAGGATGATGGCCACAGCTATGCGTACCAGGCGGCCCCGGACCTCGACTACGTCGAGGAAGATGAGGGGGTGATCCAGGCCTTCACGGCGATGCTTCAGGAAGGCTTCGACGAGACGTTGGATGGTGACGCGGCCGAGTTTGCAGCCGAAGTTCTTCAATCTGAGGGCGAGGCTTACATGCTCCGCCAGCAGGCCACCCAGAGAGGCCACCACGGGTTTCAGAACAAGCGCTATGAGTTCCGTGGCGAGATGAGCATTGAGGAGCGCAAGGCCCGCATAAGCTCCCTCAAGGAGCGCACCACGTGCAAACGATGCGGCCAGCAGGGGCACTGGGCGAATGACGCCAGCTGTCCCAAGGGCAAGGGCAAGCGACCGCACAAAGGCGCTCCTACGGCTTCCTCGGCCTCCTCTTCGGCGTCTACGGCGGCAAGCAAGAGCAAGGGCAAGGGCAAAGGAGGACCATTCAAACCAAGGCCGGTCTACTTTGCCATTTCGGAGCCCGACCAGGCCGCCAAGACGGCGATGATGGCTACGAAGAACGACTTCACCAAGGTGCCGCCCCCGACCAGCCTGGATCCGCCTAGACCTGCTGTCTCTATCGCCCCTACCTCTTTGGATGGTGTGGCCCCGCCTGCTACTTTGAGTTCCTTGCTGTCTTGGCCGGGAAGGCGGCCGGAGGCGGGCAGAGGCGAGGCGAGAAGGACAGAGCAGGCAACAGCACCGGGAACATTCGAAACGGCTTTGGTGGCCCCTTCTTCCACACAGGAGACAGAACAGGCGACAGCACCGAGAACATTCGAGACGGCTTTGGTGGCTCCTTCTTCCTCTTCGTCTTCAGCCATGGTGGCGGTGGCTCCCGAGCACCCTGTGAACATGAGGCTGGTGGAGGGTCTGGACATGGACCAGCAGATGCTCATAGAAGCCCTGCGTGCCAATAGCGACGTGGTGCTGGACCAGATGATCGAGGCAGCCAGGACCATGGACGTCACTGAGGGCGAGGGGCAGCTTTTGATCACACAAGGACCTATGGAGCCGACACCAGTTCCTATTCCCTTGGAGCCCTCGCCGGCAGATGAAGTCGAATCTTTGAGCATGGCTTCGCCATCGGAGTCCTGGTTGGAGGCCGGGCTGGAGGAACGTGAACGTGAGCAAGAACAGGTCGTGGCTGATGAGGTGAACGATGAGACGCCATATCCGGGAGAGACCCAGGTGCCAGCCGGGGCACGGGGGTCCAGTGCAGGACAGTGCCTGCACGCTCGCTTCACCACCAAGGGGACCAACAAGCACTACTACCTCAAGACGTGCCTCGACTGCAAGAAGGTCCTGGAGCGACGCAAGAAGGAGCAGGTTGATGAAGCCCCGGTCGGGTACCCCAAGAAGCCCGAGGACTGTGCACATGTTCGTGTGAGTCGCCAGGGAACCAACAGTCACGTGTGGAAGTGGCATTGCCAAGACTGTGGTATGAGGAAAGAGGGCCGCGTTGACCAGCAGCCCAGCACATTCGGCGACGTCCTCGGTGGCACTCTGGCTGGGAATTTTCAGCAGGGACCTGACACTCCTGCTGTGAAGGTGCTGGAGCTTGCCGGCGCCGTGGTGATGATTCAGGAGAGCGGCGGCGTGCCGATGGGTCTGGACCGCTTGCCGTCCATCGTTGAGAAGTGTGCGGCCGTCTACCGTCAAAGAGAGGCCGCCCGAACCTTGGGGGCGAACATGGCGGCCAGCAGTGCGGTGGACGCTCCTCGCCAAACTGCCCCAAAAGCCCGTCCTGGAGCATCCAATTTGAGTGGAGATCAGGCCGGCCAACTTTCCGCGGCACACCTGGAGAATGTGACCGGCAACTCCGTCCTTCAGTCCGGCAAATACAAAGGGCACACCTTTGAAAAGGCGATGAAGGACTACCCGGAGTATGCCGACTGGATCGTTGCACAGACCAAGAATTTGGTGGAGGTGTCTCTGAGGCAGTTTCGCCACTATGTGGTTCTCCAGAGGAGCCGTGGACCTGCCGCCTATATGGTCAACGAGCACCCACCTTCGGAGGACTATCTCTTGGCAGTCCTGGACTCGGGGTGCAATCAAACGTGCCACGGTGCCCTTTGGATGAAGAAGTTCGTTGAGGCGAGTGGGCATGAGTTTTGCCCTTTGCAGCAGGCCTCGAGACAGACTCCGAGGCATTGGCGGCCGAGTGCAGGCCTTAGGGAAGCGGACCATACCTATTTCCCTGGAGCTACAAGATGGCAACCTGGCACATGGTAGCATCGAGTCCATAGAGCTGGAGGGCTCGGAGGCCCCTCTTCTTCTTAGCTGCGGTGCTCAGAAGCAGCTTGGCATTGTCTTGGACCTAGGCAACCTCACGGCACACAGCCGATTGTTCGGCCAGGACCTGGCGCTGGAGGACCGTGATGGCCTACCTGCTGTTCGGCTTCTCCCCTTCAACGACCAGTACCAGCAGCAGTTTGCTATGATGGTGGAGAAGGACACGCCGGCGGCAGAGACGACCCAGCCCGACCAAGACATTGCCGAGGAGGAGGTCCATGAGAGTGACTTCTGGCAGCATCAAGAGGAGTTTGGGTACGAGTTCACGTTGTGCCCAGGGAGTCGCTCTACGACCCGCGTGCCGAACCGAGTGCCGAGGGGAACATTGAAGCGTCAGTTCTTCACTGCGCGGTTCGGCGCACCGTGGCTATTGTGGAGGCTACCGGGGAGAAGGCTGAGTTCCGCGACCAATGGCTCCCGCTTCGGCCCGAGGAGCTGGACACACGTGGCTACCTTGATGGACCCTGGAAGGGGTATACCTACTTCTACCGAGACTATGAACACGCGCACGAGGAGCTCAAGGAGGACCGCAATTACGAGAGCACCGGCATGTTTGCGGCGTTCGACGAGGAGAAGCCGGTGGTCTTGAGCCGGGGTCAGAAGAAGGCCCTGAGAGAGCACAGCGACAATCTTGTGCGCGAGGATGCGGCCATGTGGGCCGAGCTCAAAGGCACACCCGACTACCGACGAGCCTCCCGACTACTTCCTCGCGGCTGCCGTTCCTTCGTCTTGGAGCTCTTCGCCGGGGCCGCGGCCCTCACCGCCTTGGCCGTGGGATATGGTCTGCCGACGGCCAGCCCTATCGATCTTCAAGCGCCAGGCTGGAACTTGAGAGACCCGGCGGCACGGCAGCGACTTCAAGCACGAATTGAAGAAGAAGACCCCTACTTGTTGGCAGTTTCGCCCGTGATGTTGCCGTGGAACAGCTGGAGCACAAACGATCTCTGGAGGCCGGGCGAGCAGGCAGACAAGATCAGGGCCGGACGGCGCGACTGGTATGATGCCTTTGTCTGGCTGTGCCAGATGGTTCAGCAGCGCACCGCTCAGGGCAGACAGGTGGTTCTGGAGTCGTCCTGGAGCGGTCTCCTCTGGGAGACCAGGTGTTTGGAGCAAGTCCTGGGGCAGCACAACCCGGCCACCGAACAAGACCTGGAGCTGCTCTATGTGGACTTGTCACAATGGGGGTTGCGCGACATGGTCTCTGGACAGCTCGTGCCCAAGGAGTCGGGTGTTCTCACAGCCTCCAAGCACACCAAGCAGGCCCTTGCACAACGTGCTCCTAGAACCGGAGAGGAGTCGCCAACGCGGCGCCACCAGCGAGCACGGCTTGCAGCCAAATGGCCCGACCAATTGTGCGAGGCGGTGTTGCAGGGGGTGTTCGAGGACCTACAGGAGCTCAATTGTGCCGTGGCTTCTGCTGTGGAAGAAGGCCAAGAGTTGAGCGAGGAGCTGGGCACGCTGGACGCGCTTCACCGCCCCGAAGACGAGATCGATGTTCCTATGCCACCGCCCTTGCAACCTCATGAACTACAACGGGAAGAAGTTCTTGAAGAAGCTTCGGAACCTCAACAGGCCGAGGGCGAGAAGGAAAGGAAGAGGAAGTGGCTTCGGCTGGAACGGAACCAGCGACTGGCTATTCGCCGACTTCACCACATGACAGGCCACGCCTCGAACGAGAGCATGATGCGTATGCTCAGGGCGGCCGGGTCTTCACCGACCGTCGTTTCCGCATGCCGCTTCTTTCGTTGTCAGGTCTGTTTGGAGAAGAAGAAGCCGCCACAACCGAGTTCGGTGACCTCGGCTCCACCTTATCAATTCAACCACGAGGTTGGCTGCGATGCCTTCGAGATTGTGGACGCGGCCGGCGGCAAGCACACCATTTTGTCCTTGGTCGATTCCGGAACCAAGTACCAGGTCGCGTCGCGAGTTGCAGGAGGTGGGGTGCCAGGCAGCAAGGTTTGCTCTGACATGTTCTCGTCGAGTTGGCTGGCCCCCTTCGGACCTCCTAAGTTTCTGGTGTGTGACCAGGGCGTTCACAATCGCGGCCAGTTCGCGGCCCTGATGGCTTCTATGGGAACCCAGATTCGCGTGGTCGGAGCCCGAGCACCATGGCAGCTCGGGAGAACCGAGAGGCACGGCGGGATCCTCAAACACATGATGAAGAGGATCATCCAACAGCACCAGGTGCAAGGCGAGGATGCGATCAACCTGGTGGCCCAGCAGTGTGCGGCGGTCAAGAATGGGTCCTACAACCACTCGGGCTATTGCCCAACACAATGGGTTCTGGGCAAGTTGCCCTCTGAGGTCACATCTCTTACGGAGGAAAAGGACATTGAGCTGAGACAGCCTTGCGGCCGGCCACGGTGGAGGAGATCCGAAGACGTCAGGCCCTCGAGTTGCGACCCAGCTGGACCAGACACTCCGGGAAGCGCAAGCACCAGGATCTGGTCAGAGCGCCCAACAACCCAGGACC